AGATGTAGTCTACTAGAACTCGATCCGGCTCTCGATATACCAAAAGAAGCCTCATTATCAACCTGTCCCATCTTATCAGGTCGGCGCAGCATCGCCGCTAAATCATCGGGGCAAATCCTTGGCGGGGCACCTTTAATTAGCGGGCGTGCACGAGGGGAAAAAAATATGAAGACGTAATACGTTATCCGGTTGCCTTCCTCTCCCGGGTGCCTACCGGTAGATAGAGAGGCCGGTCCAGTTGATGCCGAGAGGCGTTGCTCATAAATAATGAACACGTATTCATGAACGCCACCGGTTACTTCGTCTCTGAAGATGAACCACGACTAGATGGAGTCCTGCATTTAACTAGCGTGTCGCGATTGGGAAAACTGGCGTTTCGAAAACACGAGATGCCTTATGTCATGAATATGATATCTCGAGATTTATGTGGCGTTAAAGTTAGATTTCCTGTCATTTATCGCTCGGGAAAGTAGATTTGTATAACATTTGTATAACGTGAGATTGTCTCTCTACCCTTTCTGTAATATTAAATTATTTGAACGAGTTGTGAGAATGTAAGATGTATAGCAGTCAATTATTCATAATTAATTCTCAAGATGGTCTTAACAGAAAAAGATTTTATGTTGCATGTGCGTTTACTTGCAAAAAAAAATAAAATTCTATTTCTCGCTGAGAGCTCACTAGTATTAAAGAAAAATATGCAATATTTATCGATTGCTTTTTACTCCAAAGATAAAAGATTTTTTATTGCATTTTTGAAATATATATATACAAATTATAAAAAGATCAGAGACGAATATATTGATCGCAAGTTTTATGTTACTCGTTTCATATCGTTACGTCCAGCCGATCGTGAAATTTGTAACCGGCCGAACGGCATCGCGCACTAATTAATTCCCGCGAGTGGGCTGATGGACGTCAGTCCGGTGCGCAAGGACAGGTCGTATCGATCCAGCTGAACGATTAATACATCCAGTTGCGCATGGCGCGATGCGGAGGAGGTCGACGGACCGTTTAATCGCCGATAGTTCTCCGGGAAGGAAAATGGCCGAGGTGGTAATCGCTACCTGCGGAAGCTCGGCGATCGACGCCAGATAGGGGATACCAATATAATGCACCCCGTACATCGGGATTCTGTTTCGACGAGCTGTGCGTCGTTCGCTCGAATAATCTCGCGGAGCGGATATCTAAACGAGGAGCTCGGAGCGCAGCCTCCGGGCAACGCGTACGTACAGAGATATACATATACATACGTATAATAAGCCGACGCAGAGAGAGAGAGAGAGAGAGAGAGAGAGAAGCAGCTCTCTCGAGTGATATATATCGGGCGCGATATATCGTCTTTGATGGTACATCTCGAAGCCGGGGTGAACTACTACTACTCGTTGGTTAAAGCCAGCGTCTCGCCCCTCGCGAAACAATATAATGATTAACCTAACAAGCTCTCATCTCGGCGCGCTGCTCACTACTTTGTACGTTAGTTACCCCACTGCGATATAGGAACATGTTCGAATATTTGAAGGCGACGTTTTTAGAATAATCTCGGAGATATATGTGCTCGATGATGTTATAGGATTACCGTGGATTACCATAGGATACCGTGTAATTAGTGTTAATTTAAGTGCATGGATAGGATCCGATTAATACAAGTCGGAATAGCAAGAGGATTTTCATTAAAACAATTTAGAGATTATTAATATCGCAAAAAAGTTTAAGAGTGAGAATATTATGTCAATTGCAATGAAATAAAGCGTAGACGATATATTGATAATTGATATCTCACGCTTGAAAGAATATAACACAAAATATTGTATAATTAAAGTTATCACAGTTAACCCAGACATAGACAACAGTTCCGATAAGATTACTTATGACGCAAGCTCAAGGAATTAAGTGAGAATAATAATTTCTTAAAATGATATACACAATATGCCAAAAATTGTTACTTTTATTTACAAATAAACAATAAATTATTTTTTCCCATTCTTTTAAAATTCGTATTTAGAATCGCGATAAAACATATAACACAGCAAAGTCGAACTATAAGGAAAACGGTTGCACTAGGTTGCCCAGGAGCCGACGTAGGACGATGATATTGTTTTACGAGCGATCCTTTAAGAACTATGGCATACAAGCAAACAAAGTGTTCGCGTCTCGTTCAACCTTGACGTAGTGTCCACCTAGACTACTATACGAGCCTCGGTCAGTCGCAGAAGCAAAGGAAGACGTAGCATTGATAGCTGGACATTGAGCGACGTGCTGGGAAGAGACGCTTCGCGGTGCAATCTACTGTCAAGTACTACTGACGATCTCGGGAATTCAACGGGTGCTCTTCCGTTCTATCTCGTAAAAGGATCCAAATATGGCATTCGTGCACAGAATATCCCGGTGAACCATAATCGGTAGTCGGGGCACGCAAGAAAGATGGTGCGGCTCCATGTTGTTCTGATAATAATGTTTGCTAAATGTTTCCACGTTATAAATAATGGAAAGTAATAGTCCACTTCATTTTTTTCCATCTTGGCTTCAATCGCTATCACGGTTTTTTATGGGATTATTTGTTTTTCAAGCCAGTTACTTATTCAAATGGCTAATTTCTCCCTTCGCGAGTTTCCATTTATAATCTCTTTTGTATTTCCTATTTTATTCGGAGAACACACAATATGTCATGTTCTCTTTATTTATTTATTTATATTAAATTATTCATATCTGATGTTCTCTCTCGTGATAAGCAACGTTTATCTATTGTATATAAATCTTTATTTTAAATCTTTATGCATCGTTTTTTGTTCTCTGCATCTGACAGTTGTCACCGGGCTGTGTATCTCGAATAAGAATCGCTGAAGCTTATTTGGATGCTTTCCCTCTTCATACTCATCTCGTCGTCGACGTTCTACGAGAAAATCATCTCGAATTTTTCCCGAACGGAATTACCATGCCGACACTGATCGTCGCGACAGGTTACACCGACAGTCGGCTCTCCTCTCGAGGATTCCGATGATTCTTACTCCTGTTTTCTATCGCGACCCACTACTGCCACCACCACCGCTATCACCACCACCACTACCGGCGCCGTCGTCGCCAGCATCACCACCTTCGTTCATCCACCACCATCTACTCCGACTACCACCTCTTTTGCAGGCAGCGCGGGGCACTCGCCATGTGACTGATTCCCCTTCTCTGCAGGTTGACGAGCTGTGGGCCTGCCTACCTGCCGCCCGTTGCCCCGCTCCCATTACGGCGCGGACTCTCGCGGCAGGTGCACCAACCTAAGTGCCACTCCGCTTACTTGTGTGTCGTGCCTACTAAGGCAGAGCAGTGTGGTCAGGTGGTCAGGTTCTTCCCTCTCTCTTTCCTCGCTCCCATTACTCTCGCGGCAGGTGCACCAACCTAAGTGCCACTCCGCTTACTTGTGTGTCGTGCCTACTAAGGCAGAGCAGTGTGGTCAGTGTGGTCAGTTTTCTCTCTTCGCGGACTATCTCTTCCACCGTCTTTTTTCCCTCTGTCCATCCCCCTACCTGTTTCCGTCTCTCTTTTTCTCTCTCTCCCTCTCTCCCTCTACTTTTTCTCTCTCTTTCTGTCTTTCTATCCGTCTATCCTCTTCGACATCACCTCACGCAGCAGTGCTGTGTAGTGTCGTGTCATCCCGCGGTACGTCAACGATCCTCTCGGACTGAAGGCAAGGATCGACCGGGTCGGAGGTACACTCTGCGATTACCGGAGCCGGTCGATCGCCGGTATACTGTAGAATGAAGAAAGTGATCCCCCCGCGGTGACAGAGGTGAAGGAAGTGATAGCTCGATGGAACGCGCGATCTCTTGACACGGGTAGATGAAAGTGATTCATTGAGATATTTTTTGTCGAGAGAATTTCTAAAATCTGATTTTAGAGAAGTGAATCTATTTTACATGTGCAAACAAGATCTTACATTGGTAAAACTTATCGTGATGATAAAAGACCAACGCAGTTGGTGATTATAACTGTTTATTTTAAGAATGAATTATTAGATTGAAAATCTAAGTGTGATCGTATCAACAGAATTTTTAGCATCTGCTAAATGAATAGCCTGATAACCGTGTTCTGAGTGAAAAGAGAGTGATACAATTCGAAATTCGATTGCGATCCGCAGAATCCTGAAGACAGCTATTCTTCGACGAGCAGCAAAGTGGAAGGTACTGAGGAAGGGAACATTCAGTGAAGGTGTCAAACGTCGACGGCACCTCATTGACATTTCCGTGACATTTAATACGCGATTCGAGTCAAGTGCCAGACGCCTTTTCGTGTAACACGCGTGTCCCTCTGCTGTTACGGCGAAATAGTTCGCGAGAAGTGTGTTATCGTCGTGCAACGACGTGACGAGCAAAGAGGCGACAGAGAGGAAGTGAGACGAGGGCGAAACGAGTCGATGACGCGTCCTCCGTGCCTTATCAGCGACACAACTAGAGCGTGGTGACGGCGAAAAGTCATCTAAAAACTTATCTGTCTCTTGGAATCCTTTACTTGCACGTGCACGGTCTCGATAATAGGAATCGGACGACCTGCGTTTTCGAATAAGCCTGCTTCGAGTGATATCAAAACAAGATCCACGACAAACTCTGAAATAGAGAAAGAGAAAGAGAGAACTCTTTGCAACAGGTGATTTCAACAGATCGCCAAACGCGGTTCTCTTGCGATTTACGACAGGCAGAACCGAAGATTCTTCGCTCGGTTGGAGGTTGACACTGATAGCCAAACTGGACATTCTTACCGCCACGTCGGGAAGAACGGAGTGGAGATGTCCGCGGGTCGCTGAGAGAATGAGGGAGCTGGACACCGAGAGCCCTGTCGTCTGGCCGGCCTGGTGTTACACTGGTGAGTTGAGCGATTGATCACAATGATGTGAAAATTAAACAAATTAACGGTTGCCAACCGTCGCATTGTGTAATAATTGCACAATCCCTCTCTTTCTCTTCTTTCTCTCTTCCTTTCCCCGCGGACTATCTCTTCCACCGTCTTCTTTCTCTTCTTTCTCTCTTCCTTTCCCCGCGGACTATCTCTTCCACCGTCTTTTTTCCCTCTGTCCATCCCCCTACCTGTTTCCGTCTCTCTTTTTCTCTCTCTCCCTCTACTGTTTCTCTTTTTCTCTCTCTTTCTGTCTTTCTATCCGTCTATCCTCTTCGACATCACCTCACGCAGCAGTGCTGTGTAGTGTCGTGTCATCCCGCGGTACGTCAACGATCCTCTCGGACTGAAGGCAAGGATCGACCGGGTCGGAGGTACACTCTGCGATTACCGGAGCCGGTCGATCGCCGGTATACTGTAGAATGAAGAAAGTGATCCCGCGGTGACCGCAGAGGTGAAGGAAGTGATAGCTCGATGGAACGCGCGATCTCTTGACACGGGTAGATGAAAGTGATTCATTGAGATATTTGGATTCGAGAGAATTTCTAAAATCTGATTTTAGAGAAGTGAATCTATTTTACATGTGCAAACAAGATCTTACATTGGTAAAACTTATCGTGATGATAAAAGACCAACGCAGTTGGTGATTATAACTGTTTATTTTAAGAATGAATTATTAGATTGAAAATCTAAGTGTGATCGTATCAACAGAATTTTTAGCATCTGCTAAATGAATAGCCTGATAACCGTGTTCTGAGTGAAAAGAGAGTGATACAATTCGAAATTCGATTGCGATCCGCAGAATCCTGAAGACAGCTATTCTTCGACGAGCAGCAAAGTGGAAGGTACTGAGGAAGGGAACATTCAGTGAAGGTGTCAAACGTCGACGGCACCTCATTGACATTTCCGTGACATTTAATACGCGATTCGAGTCAAGTGCCAGACGCCTTTTCGTGTAACACGCGTGTCCCTCTGCTGTTACGGCGAAATAGTTCGCGAGAAGTGTGTTATCGTCGTGCAACGACGTGACGAGCAAAGAGGCGACAGAGAGGAAGTGAGACGAGGGCGAAACGAGTCGATGACGCGTCCTCCGTGCCTTATCAGCGACACAACTAGAGCGTGGTGACGGCGAAAAGTCATCTAAAAACTTATCTGTCTCTTGGAATCCTTTACTTGCACGTGCACGGTCTCGATAATAGGAATCGGACGACCTGCGTTTTCGAATAAGCCTGCTTCGAGTGATATCAAAACAAGATCCACGACAAACTCTGAAATAGAGAAAGAGAAAGAGAGAACTCTTTGCAACAGGTGATTTCAACAGATCGCCAAACGCGGTTCTCTTGCGATTTACGACAGGCAGAACCGAAGATTCTTCGCTCGGTTGGAGGTTGACACTGATAGCCAAACTGGACATTCTTACCGCCACGTCGGGAAGAACGGAGTGGAGATGTCCGCGGGTCGCTGAGAGAATGAGGGAGCTGGACACCGAGAGCCCTGTCGTCTGGCCGGCCTGGTGTTACACTGGTGAGTTGAGCGATTGATCACAATGATGTGAAAATTAAACAAATTAACGGTTGCCAACCGTCGCATTGTGTAATAATTGCACAATGAGAAAAGATACGATATCTTTAGAAATATTTGTGTGTGTGTAAATTATTACACATTTCTCTAATAATAATTTACTTGCTGCGTTGATTAAGCGGTTTTTAAAATTTGTTATTTGACATTTATTGTGCAGTTGATCTCATTACGTCCGTCTTCCATTGTTGTTCCATCTGTCTGTCAAACTTTCAATTACTTTTTAAAGATTATTTACAAATTTAAGGAAATTGTGATAACACAATCAATTTCGGTAGAATTATCTTTATAGCACGAAATCGGCAATATGTCAACGTATTGGTTATTGTTAAACATTTTTAAAGTATTTTTAACACAGTTGAGAGAACTTCAAACGCGCTCTGACGCGATGTAATCATGAATGATTCGAGCGAGCGCTATGTTTTGCACAAACACATCCGTCGTTGATCAGTCTATCGATTGCGCGGATAGGTAGTCGGCGAAATCATAACAAGTCATAATGTAAAGGACGCAAATTGCCATTGCGACGTGCGGGAAGTTATGAAACACGCGGCCAAGTAGGCGTCATGCTGCGACTTTGGAATTCGTACTCTATTACTGTATCGACAGGTCGAATGACGGACAGAAAGCAAACATGAGCCTAGATAAGAAAACGCGAGTGTCACGAGAGTGAATTATATAATACGAGGGCAATTACTGTTCTCGGTAATCTAATCACGACTTTATAATGGTGGAACAATTAGTTTAATCTCCGCAGCTATAAATGAATTCTCAACTACTGCCTTTCCCCCTTTCATATTTGCTGACAAAACTGTATTTATCTTTTATCATGTTAATCGTATTTTTGCGATTAAAATTATATCTTTAATCTTAAAAAAATGAATATAAAGAGTAAAATACAATATCAATGCGATGAATGTGTGAATTCTTGGAAACTCGATTAAAAAGATACGACAATAAAAAGTTCCGTTCGAGTGCCTTGTTTTATCGTGGCGAGCTTAATTTCTCGGAAATTGTTTACCGTGTGATATCTCTTTAATGTGTCAATAAACTCATGCTTTGAACGCTACGCAATGCGACTCTGCTACCGTCGAGTCGCGCAAAATTTCAATGCTATGTGAAAAATTTAAGTACTTTAGTTTTAAGCACCAATAGAATTTCGAAAAGCGTTTCATTAATTTTTATCTATTTTTTTAAATTTATATATATATATATATATATATGCATGTATGTGTATTTATATCGCTGATTCTTTTCGAGAATTGAAAACTTTCTTGCAACTACATTATCATATTTAACTATAACTGTCCTTATATAAATTCCGGAATTTTATCTTAGACCGCAAATAACAGCATCTATCTCACTAATGTTTGATTCTTAATAGATTCTTCGGGAATTATAATTTAATGAAAAAAAGAACACGCGATAGGGTGTCATAGATCTCCTATGAAGTAGTTTTTGTCGCTTCTTATCAGGCCAGACTTCTTAATTCCCAAGCCTACGATTACCTACCTACCTGCCGAATCGCTCCACGCTCCATGTTTTTCGATGTTGTTTTGCCACGCGGAGAATTCGTCCGGTTCCGTTAACAGGGAGACGAGAGACGAGAACGAATCGCGGAGGGTGTAATTATGGTGCTCGATCTTGACAATTAGGAACCCTTAGGAGCTGTCGGTAGCGAAATAGAGGTCCATTTAGCTCCCGCAACTTCCAGCAGCTTTATCTCGTCCAATCGTCTCGCGTTATTCGTCGGCGTCTTCTAATTAAGAGGGAACTCGCGGATTTTTTTCCTATTCGGACTGGAAATGTCGCTGTTAATTGTCAAGCGATGAATTTTTCAATTTCAGTCCGACTCCGCGTGCGTCGACGCGCACTTAATATTCTAATTTGCTACTTAATAAGGCGACTAATGAGAAATCGATACATGAGAATTCGATACTTATTCAGAAAGCCCAACAAAAAATATCGAGCGTAATTAACTCCCGTAATGCTGACTCCGTTCATGAAAAAGCACGCGATCCGTCTCGAATCGTTCGGTTAAAACGCTATTTTGCCAGTCAGGATATTAATAAACCTTTTTTAGCGCCGTGCGCATTATATCGCGGCGCGATTGCACGCGGTTGCGGTGTGCGTTCGTTAGCCGGTTGTTCGGCTCTCCGATTCGGAGTAGCGTAGCAAAACCGGCGTGATTTGGTGACAGAACCGATCCCGCGGAACGGATTCGTTACGGTATAAGTCGAGGTAATGGCGAGAGACGTTCCGCGGACGCGCAACGGACGCGCCGCGACCGCTAATGCGATTACCGGCTCTTTCCTAGTCACCAGGAAACAGACATTGTTTCGCGTCGCCGAAACGAATCATCTAGGGTCGCCGCAGAAATCCATTTTCGGAATCTACGGTTAGCGCGAGACCCATAATTATTCTTTCGGTAAAATATTCTTTATTGTTTCAATTGTCCTTTTCCTTATTTCATTAAATTAACATCTCCACAAAAAATGGAAAAATATTAAATATTTTTGCTTAGAACCTTAGATAATAATCGACAATCTATTTATTTGAATAAATTATTTATTTTTTATAATTACTGATTTCACAAGCTTTTAATCCATTTAATTATTCTTTTACATAACTCGCACGGTTAAAATTAAAATTGTTTTTTGTTTTTGCATTTTTATTATTTAAAGAAATCATACGTGCCAATATAATACGTTATTCATGTAGATCTCTATATCTACGTTCATGTATCTTATATCTGGAATTATGAGATACAAGAAATATGCTATCAATAATCTGACTGATAAGACGATAATTGTTTAACCAAGCGGACGAGCGACGAAGTCGCGAACAATTGCATAAATATTATCCTCGGTCTCTTAACTCATTACATTTGAATTTTCTCAGCGGCTGTTTCAGACTTGCGGCTCGCGCGGAAGCGTTCGCTTAGTTTGTTAAAACCGCGACGCGTAGAAGCCGCAAGGGGAAAGTTATAAATTATGACAATTATTGATGCCAACCGCTCTCGCGCGACTTGTCCAGTTATAACGATATTATCATCATTAAGTTAAGTAATCGCGGTCTTGTTATTGCTGTTTATATTTTGATTATCTTAAACTAACAATCACCATCGCATTATCTTCCAACTAGTATAATTATAATGCTTCCTATGTGTGTGGACGTGATATATCATTCGCCTGACAATTTCGAGATAAATCTTTTTACCCGAAGAATAAACCCTTTGAAAAGCGTGATCGACCAGATGGAACATGATGTTTCTGGAATCTGGAACGCCTGGTATGCACGCTGTCGCGGTGGCCTCGTCACTTTCGTGACTTATCCTCGGCCAAGTCTTCCTGGCCAGGTTTCCAGGAATCACAGCTCTTGCCGACCATCTCCGGTTACCTTGTCGAAAGCGCCATGTAGGGTCTCCCTGTCGAACGGTCGAAGAGGGATCACGCGCTCGCACGGCTTTAGCCTCGACCTTCGCCTTCCGTCGCGGAATACGACTTACCGCTCCTCCGGTAGTCCCTTCGGCACGTCGTAGTCGTACGGATTGCCATTGACGGAGTTAAATATTGGCTATCGCTCAAAATACAAACGCGATTACGCTTGCGCCGGTGACTGCATGTCGTTGTCATGCTAGTTGGGTGACTTATTTATGGACCACAAAGCATCGGTTTCTGCCTCCGACTGTCGTCTCTCGTTCCCTTTGCTGACTCGCCGTCGAAAGACGCGCTCTTGGTACATCTTACGCGTAGTCATCGGCTCGTTCCGTTTTCATTGTTTCCAACAGTTAATAAAACCTGCCTTTTTAATAGAAATAAGCAGCTCCGTTCTTATTTATGTTGTAACGCGTCGAATATTTAATTTCAATATGATGTACTGTCAGGAAAAGTAAATAATAACGTTAGTGTAAATGCTATACAATAATCCAAATTATGTTTCTGCTGTAGACAAAAAGGATAGAATTAATTTTTATTTCTACCACGTGATTATTTATTATATCGTATTTTTTGAAAAATATGTAGACTATGAACACATTTGTTAAACTATAGAAATATCCAAATTGAAATAACTGCATATAGTTTCTCTGGCATTATTGAAAGAACCGCCTATCAATAGCGCTATATCACGGCACTGAAACGAGATCAAATAACAGATGTTTTCCACCTCCGATGAAATCAACGAGTCTCCCAGATTATGACGAGAAAGCCGGCCAGAGAGGCCACTGAGAAAACAGCAGCAAAGTTTGTCCCCTGCTGTTCGAGAGATTAATAGACACGCCATTATGACGGAAGCGAGAACCGCCTTAAAATTGCACCGCCAGGGTTTCTAATCGCGTTTCCACGAGACAAAGGGCATCAGTTGTGGAAGAGGATATCCCAGGGTGGGACGAGGAAGTGGCAAAAGGGAGAGATGGGGAAGGAAGGAAGGTGAAACAAAGAGAAAGGCAGAGAAAGGGCGCGAGAGAGAGAGAGAGAGAGAGAGAGAGACGAGGATAAACGTGAAAAAGTGGCAGGTCGCGTCGAGGCTCGCTCAAGGTGGGAACAAAAGCCACCTTTTCTTCTTGCTCGTCTTCTTCTTGCTTTTCTTCCATCGTCTCGTTCGTGAAGAGAGAAGCGTTCGGTCCCGCGCTACGTAGAAGGATCGCTCTGGGATCCACCATTGTGACTTCTTGCACGTATGAAAAACCACAAACCGCTGACGTTATTTCGCGGCCGCGAACACGAAGGGCCTCTCTCCCTCTTCTCCCCTCTTAGCCGCGAAGCCCGAGTCGCGTAGGTAATACGCGGGAACCTCCTGCTCCCTTGTTACCCTGATTTCCCCCTGGACCCGCTCTGTGCTTTGATTCGATCTCTTTTTTTTTCGACAGCACCGCAGAATCGCGCATCGGAATGATGCTCTCGTTTGATCGACCATCTCGGTCGGATCTGTGAGATTATTATGGCGTCGCTTATCGATGGATGCGTATGAGGTATCGATTTGATAAATAGCAAACAGCAATCGTCGTGAAATCAAAGTTGAAAAAAATGGAATGATACTTATAATTAAATGCGCAACTATCAATAATTATATTAATGTAGCATCATAATTTTCTTGATAAATAATGATATTGAGATAATCAATTGTCTATTACAGACCGATGCTTTATCGATTCAAACTTATCGAAATAAAATATTGATTTTACTGGAAATTAATTAACGAAGACCGATAACCGAGCTATTTTAATAAAATAAATTTCAATTAATCTCATATTCGTACATAATCGGTAAATATTTTAAGACGGAATTCAGACCCATCTGTTGCGATCTACTTCATCTCGATTGATTGATTTTCGAATCGCGTTCTCGAAAGTAAATGAACTCCTTTTTCCCTCCTCCGTAGCGACACGCGCGCGCCAACAAGTCCCCTGTCGTATCCAACAGGTGACAGGGGAAGTCCTTAATCGCGTCATGACGTTTTCATATCGGGAATCGCGCGAGTCACGTCGCTTAATTGCCCGTGCGAATTATTGAATGCCGGAGCACCGGCCGATTGCGCGCACGGCACGCGTTTATCTTTCGGGAAACACTACGGCGTACTCGTGAATCG